CATTAAAGAGATTTGCCTATAGTTCTCTTTTTTGGTTGGGTCTTTCTCTGGTTTTGGAATCAGGGTAATGCTTGTTTCCAGGAATGACTTTGAGAGTATTGTTTCCTTTTTTATTTCATTAAAGAGTGTGAGCAGTACTGCAGTTAGATCTTATCTAAAGTTTTTGTAGAATTTGGCAGTGAATCCATCAGGATCTGGACTTTTCATAGTTGGTAGTTTGTTTGTTTTTTAGTACTTATTCAGTTTCACTGGCTGGTAATGGTTTATTCAGGATTTTTATATCTTCTTGGTTCAGCTTTTGCACTTCAAGTGTATCTTTAAAATTTCCTTCCACATAGTAGCTTTGGGTTTGGATTGTTCCTGTTTTTCTAGATCCTTGAAAATAGCAAGAGAAAATGAAAACTTGATCCAACAACTGCTAAATGAGGCAAAGAAACTAATCTGAGAATTGATATAAGTGGAAAATCAGAAGATAAGCCAAATGGCATGAAAAACCTTTTCACTGAAATAATGGCAGAAAATTTACCAAATAGAGGGAAACAAATAACTAATACAGAGAAGGGAGACATGTAGAACACCAAATAGTCATGACCAAAAGAGAACATCTCTGTACCTCAAGAATTCCAGAAGTCCATCACAGGAATGAAATCTTAAAATCTGTTAGAGAAAGGCAATAAATCACATACAAAGGTAAAACCATTAGAGTCGCAGCAGATATAAAGGCCAGGAGAGCTTTGAGTGAAGTGTTTCAAGCCCTAAAAGATAATAACTTTTTAACCTGACTTATGTATTCTGAAAATTTTTCCTTTAAAATTGATGGAGAAATAAGGTCAAGAAATTCATGACCACTACACAAGCAGTACAAAAACTCTCAAGGATATCCTAGAAAAAGACAAAGGGCCAACAATGTCAATAAGTCAAAAAGAATGAATATACCTTGCATGATGAGCAGCTAAGCAGAAGCAGGGTGGTGGTGAAATCAGCAACAGGAAAATAATGCAATGACAGAAATAAGTCAGTACCTCTCAGTAATAACTCTCAGGGTGAATGGTCTCAATTCCCTAATCAAAAGACACAGATTGGCAAAATGGATCAAGAATCAAAATCCAACAATATGCAATGTACAAAAAGCACATTTAATTCAAAAAGATACAGATTAAAAATCAAAAAATGGAAAATATTCCATTCAATTGGAACTCAGAAAAAAACAGGAGTTGCTACCCTAATTTCAGAAAGTGGATTTCAAGCTAAGACTGATCCAAAGAGACAAAGAAGGCTACACATATTGTTGAAGGAAATGATTTAACAGGAAAAGTTAACAATAATAAAGATGTACACACCAAATACCAGCATAGCCAACTTCATAAAACAAACAGTAATGGACATGAAAAATCAGATAAACGCCAATACAGTAGTAATGGGGACCTCAATATCCCACTGTCACAAATGGACAGATCAACCAGACAAAAAAACCAACAAAGAAATATCAGAGTTTAACCAAGCCTTCGGACAAATGATCTTAATACAGTGGTACCTCGGTTCAGGAACTTAAATCTTTCCATAAGTCTTGGAAATGAATCAAATCAAATTCAATGGTTAGGTTCAATGTTGTCTTTATGGAGAAACTTGACTCAGTTTGCGACCAGAATGATGTAAAAAATTAAGTTTGTGAACTGAGGTAGCACTGTAGATACCTACCAAGTGTTCTGTCCAACAACAGACTACACATTCTTCTCAGCAGCACATGGGACTGTCTCCAAAATAGACCACATATATCGCTTCTCGGCCTTTTGGCTAAGATCAAGTGCAAAATAGACCACATACTAGCCCACAAAATATGCTTAAGTAAATACAAAAGAATCAAAATTATCTCATGCATATTATCATATCGTAGTGCAATGAAACTAGAAATCAATAGCAAAAGAAACCACACAAATTATGCAAGCACATGGAAATTAAACAATATTCTCTTGAATAATCAATGGGTCACAGATGAAGTTAAAGAAGAAATTAGACAGTTTTACAATAAAGCGATAATGCCAGTATGACATATCAGAACCTAGGGGACCCAGTGAAAGCAGTCCTAAAAGGAAAGTTCATAGCAGTGAATTCCCACACCAGCAAAACAGAATGAGCTCAAATAAATAACCTAATGTTGCACTTCAAAAATGTTTTATGAATACATTTTCTTTCATCTTTTTTCCTTAAAAAATCTATAGCTCAGAGATCTGTTTGTATAAAAATAGGTTTAAAATACTGTAGTGTTTAATCACAAAATCATATTCACACATATTTTTAAATGTCCTTCTACATCTATTAAAGCTAATTTTGGATTTCAAGATACAATTTTGAATACTGGTATCTAATTATTAAAAAATTGAATCTCCTTTCTCTTCTTGTTGCTATTGGCAGTAGAGTAGGTGTTTTCTAATGTTGCAAGAACCTCAAACACTAACTTACTTTTTCAGATAGAATCCCTTTAATGTGCCTCACACATAGTAGCAGCTTTATAAATATTTATAAATATTTTCTGTTTCAGCAAAATATAAGTGCATTCTTTATAATGTAATTTTTTTTTTTTTGGTACCAGGGATCAAACTTGGGACCTTGAGCTTGCAAGGCAGGCGCCGCAACCACTGAGCTAAATCCCCAGCCCTTTATAATGTAACCTTAACTTGATTGATAATCCTTAACCAAAGCTTTATTTTATATACATAGTTCTGTATACAGGAAGTTATTCAAGAACCCTGATATTCAAATCCACTGCCTGGATTTTATTTTTTTAAAAAGAAACTTAGACTCCTAATAAGGAGGAAGACCAGTATTTTCTTGGTTAGCAAAGACCAGCGGTATCTGGTTATAAAAGAAGTAGAGGAAAAAGTCTGAACTTGATTCCCTTCTGCCCATTGTCAGAATAGCTTCCATTTCCATCTTGGTGGGAATTCAGGCTCTCTGAAACACACTAGGGCAGAATTAACTTTTCAAAAAGTCCAGTGTGGGCCAACCAAGTCTTCATCCCTCATTTTCTGTTGCAACCACAGTTCTGGGAACTTATAGGCTACTTATAGTTTGTCTTTTCTAATTCAGGATCCAGATTTAGGAAGGACTGGCAAACCTGAGCTTTCTATTCCAGGAGCATGCAAACGCTAGCAAGAGTTTTAACCACTTTCCAATTTTTTATAATCTATCGCAACTCATTCAACCTTGTTTCTCTTCTTGTTGCTATTGGCAGTAATGATAGATATTGTCCAGTGTTATAACCACAACCTCAGGCATTGACTTAACATTTTCAAGCAGCGTCACTTCAGTTGTACATGGCACATGGTAGCAACTTTATAAATGTTTTCCGTATTTCCGTGAGCTGATGAGAGACCTGTTATGGCTATTCCCTCAGAGCAGGTAAGAAGTTATAAGAGTAATAAAAGGGTAGGAAATACTGGATGAGAGCTCTTCAGATTCTAACAGTGGGTATATCATCTCATCTAATGAGAAAGTCCTTATTATTCCATTTCTGTCTTTCTAAGAGTAGCAGATTTCAAAAAGTAATTTTACATTTTTCCTATATGTCCTTTTCAGTGGTCATTGCTACATAGACTATTGGCTTATTTAAAAAGCATAACTTTTAGCAAGCTACCTTTGTGATCCTCATTAAATTTGATGTGCAAATGTGATAGATATTTAAGGTTCTGGTTCTCATAAAATACACTCCTCTTGTACTGTGCTCCAGGGTCTTTTGAACCTTGACTTTTCTTAATTCCTCTGGCCAATTATTTTTAGACTTCTTTTATTTATATAGTTCCGAGTATGTAACTGTACAAAAATTTTCTAAGAAATGATTCACTTACATAACTTTTAGCTACACAAATTCCTGGTTTTTCTAAATCACCTTTGACTTAACCTAAGCATGCTGGACACTTTCAAAGCTTTCATTGTGTGGTATTATTAGGTGTTAGAGATGATCTCTGGGAAAACCACCTGTGTCTTCTAAATTTTAAAGGTATTGAAAAGAAACAGACATTTGTGGTATGATTAATAGGTTGCTGTTTGTTAGGGGAGCAGTTGATTTTTTTGTTCGTTTATTCTTTGGTGTTTTGTTTTGTTTTGTTTTTGAGATGGTCTCACTATGTAGTTCAGGCTGGCCTTGAACTCACTATGTAGTCTAGGCTGGCCTCAAACTCATGGCAATGCTCCTGCTTTAGCCATCCAAGTGCTAGGATTACAGGCATGTGTCACCATGCCTGGCAGGGAAGCAGTTTTGAAAGTACTGATTATGTAATATTTGGGGACTTCCTTGCTCTACAGTTAAAAGCTTTTTTAAATGTTAATTTGGGATTTATTTTGTTGTCCTGTAACTTAGCATGAATGTTTCCATTTTAAAAGGTTTCAGTTCATTCCTTGCATTTATCTTACCAGACTTGCAATATAATATTATGTATTTATTTATACGCACTAAGGAGGGTAAGTCCAGCAACTCACAACTCATGAAACCAGAGGTAAATAATCCATAGCTTGTTTCCCCACCATTGCCACAATATTTATATTCAGAACACAAGTAACAAAGAATCCAAAACAAGGAGAAACCAGTTTGTTTTTATCTACAAAATGTTTCATTAAAAGCACAGTAAAGTTCAAGTGGAGCTACAAATCCTAATGGTTTACAATAGTTTGATTTATTTTTTTTAAACAGACCATGGATAATTGACCGTAAAAGATAACTTGCTTAATACAAGTTACAGTGAATTGCAGAAATGGACAGCAAGTCCTTCGTAAATAGTTGCAACTGGTTGGAGACCCTCAAGTCAATCATGTAGGCAGTTACAAACACCACTTTTTCAGTGAATGGTTATATTTTCATTCATAAAGGGGAAGCACTTTTTTACTTTCTATACAGTATCACTGAGTCAGTTTCCCAAAGTTACAAATGGATTTTTTCTGTGATTACCAGATTGTCATATATTTATTAAATACCTAGCACTTACAATATTATTTTTAAATTTCAGAATGTTTCACCATCACTAACTTGATATTCCTCACAACATTTCTGGCTGGTAAGTAACTTCCATTATCTCTAAATGACAGTACAAAATATTGAGATATAAAGAAAACGAATATATTTCTATTATCTTCATAAAAACTTTAAGCCAAAGGGCTGTGGTGAGTCTACAACCTCAAGTACTAAATTTGAACTGAATGTATTTTGACACTGGTAAAAGGTAGATCTTTCATATCTGGTTGTTCATTTGAAATACCATCAGTTAAAAGGATAAGAAACATGATCCCAAGACCCACTGTCATAGATATTGACAAACATTTTCAAATGAGTTTGTAACACAGGGTGTTGTAAGTGCTCAGGGACTTGTTTGGAAGTCTCTCTAGAGATCTTTTTTCTTTTTCCAAAGTCAACTCCAGAGTGCAAAAACGGTTGATAAAGTGAAGGAGGGCACTAATATTTCCTCTATGGAACATTGAATGTTTGGCATTAAACACACACAAAACCTTCCAACATGTTTTGTGATACTTTGAACTACCCATTTATATTCTATAATATTCTAAAAAATTTGAAATGCAATTGACTCACTTTGCTTAATCTTAAAAGCAGACATGATTACTCTTGCATATAACAAAATGGAAAAGAAAAGCACCTTTAAGGAATATGAATAAGGCCACTCCCATCTTTTCAAATTAAGTAAGAGGACCAAAACCAGAGCTGTAAGTCAGCATAAATTTGAAGTTTTTGTCTCTATGTCTTTTAATGAAAATTTATAAAATTTCAAATGGTTGGCACTCTGGCCTCCTAGAATCATTGATATTTCACTGGCTGGGAGCAGAGCACAGGTCAGGACTGAGGATAAATTGGTAGTGCATTATTGAGTCAGGCAGAGCTCTAAAGAGCTGAGTTTGATACAGGTTGGCCTGCACTGAAATGCACGGGCAAATACCCACAAGGGGGAGGAGAAAGGAAAAGGTAACTTGCCTGGCATCTGACTATGCCCTGCCCGACTCCAGGCCTATTTAGTCATGAACATCATATTCAGCCAAACCTTTAAAAGTTATACCTTGACTTCACTTTATATGAATGTGCATAAAATGAGGAAAACCATCTCTTGGGTTAATAAAGATAGCTTTCTAACAGAGACTTTCCATACCCATTGCATATAATCCGTAGTTGTCGCTATGTTGTTTCTAATTCTGTTGATCATTTATCTCTGTCTCTTTGAGCATATCCATCTTAGTACTGAAGGCCACAGACTTTAGGACTGTAACTCCCTCTGCCTTCCCATTCTAATGCTTTTATTTGTTTTGTTGCTCAAAAAAGAAACTCAAGACAGTGTTAGCCTCAGGAGCTCCAGGGACAGGCTTTTTGGTAACTTTAATTTGTCACTCCCTTTGCATTCATCACAAAATGATCTCATCACAAAAGGGCCCGAATTTCACACTCTTGTTGGCTTTCAAAGAAGCCAGTTCCTCCCTTATTTCTATCCAACGCACAGCACAGAAAGCTCTTTATGTTTATATGATCAGATAAAATCTGTATTGACATTTCTTTTCCTCTGGGTGTATTTCACTTCTAGGTACAAAGATTTAAACTATTAAGGAAATGCTGTGTGTTTGCAGTTTCTCGTTTTAGTAAATGCAAAGCTCCTTGGTAAAGAAGCATGTATCTTTTCTATTAATGAATAAATATTTATTTAATTTTAAAATGATGCATATTCAATAAAAATAATTTGGAAAAATGCATAGGTGTAAAGTGAAGAAAAATTAAAATAATTATTTCCTTATTTAAATCCAATCATTAATAACCATTTGGTATATTTTCTTTTTCTTGTTTCCCCTGAGGATATATCTGTAAATGTGCTGTAATCATACTTTCTATATAATTTTGTGTCCTACTTTCAGAATTTAATCTAAGAATTTTATGCATAATTACATAGACCTTTTAAATAAATATTACTATTCCTGAAGAGTAGCTCGTTTAACCTAAATGTGCAAAAAGAGCATTATTATTATTATTTCCATTTTACTTTACATGTGGACAATTCCTTACATAGAAACTATAAGTGAATCAATCCATAAACAATGAATAAATGAATGAAAATTCAAATCAGTATGTATTTTATTTTATTAAAAAATTCAAATACATGAATGTAATACAGATTAATACAATGACTGCAATGTACCCATCATCTAACTTGTAAAATAATTAATTCATGGCCTATCAGTTTCCTGCTATACTGCCATGTTGTTTTGAAACAAACCACAAACAATGCAGCTTTTAATTCATAAATATTTCAGGCTCACCAGGAGATTTTTACATGTTAGAGTTAAACCACTCAGAAAAATTATCTAATTTTCATATATAACAATATTTCTTTATTATCTTGACATCATATTTTCTAGTATGTAATAATTGCTTATAAATTCTCTGTGGTGTGTTTCGTAATATTCTAAGGTACATCTAGAAGCCAAAAGGCGGTTTAGTTAACCAGAGAGATATTTCATAGACTTGGCTATATTTTTGGAGAAAACTCTTTTTTTGGCACATTTTTACTTGACTTAAATGTGGGGTGATGATTTGTATAACAGACCCATACAGCATTAATTATACTCATTATTGGACATACGCATCTGCTAGGTAAGATTCTTTATCTTTAAACAAAAAAATTAAGGTAGCCCTCTGACTACTTAAAACTCTAGACTAGCTGCAGCCATCCCGTACTAGATAGAGAAAACCTACTTTAGCCAAACATAACACTGTATTCAAAATTTTATAGTTGTAAGGTTTATTGACAAAAATGGAAAGCATTTGATGGATATATGGGACTCTTAAGAAGTGTGTAGAAGAAGAAATTGTATAACAGTAGTTTGAGACATATTTTAAAAAACACTATGAGAGGTAGGAGTTGGTGTGTTGCAGAACAATATCTGTATGTATTTTTCTAGTCTGTTCTAAGAACGTTCGAAGAACACTTTATAAGCCATCCTTCCCTAGCTAGATCAGGTTCTCCACAAGAAGAGCTCCACGGATCATAAATGCTCTGTGCATATTATAGAGAAGCTATGTTAGGGTTTTGTTCTGTCTTTGAATTATAGGTCAGTGATTGTTAAGTAGCAATGTGCTATCCAACAGGTGTATTACACTCATCAGAAACTCAGGATATAAATAACTAAGTAACATTCTTCCTCAGTATAAACTGAATTTATGTGTTACTCTGTTATATTTAATCTTAGAAGCACAGTTTGCATTGGCCTCGAAAGTGAGTAGCTAGAATATTGATGTGCCTAACCCTTGGGGAAGCAAAAAAGAGCTTCTCTACCACACTAAATCTCTAGAAAAATATGATAGTTTACAGTATGGGCACATAGAAAATATTTTCAGCCAAAGACAGTAGAGAAAAGCACATGAGGAAAAAAGAAAGCAATGACATAAGCAATAAACTATCACAAGCAAACAGAGAGCATCTGTAAAATTTGCTGGACTGGATGGTGTAAACAATACAAATTCTTGGGGGGTTTTTTCCCTTTTTTCCCTTGTCTTTTGATCATTACTTTCTCTCTTCTACCCTGACAAGGCATCACCATCATTAAAATATCAGCAAAAGGTCGGAAATGCATCTAATGACTTGGCATTCAGGCAAGTTTTGTGAAGATACATAGGAACTAGCCATTATACTATTTTGAAGTGCCAAGGATATTTTACCGTATTCCAAAATATTCACATTGAAAAACACTATCCTTTTCATCATTACTTTAAGATTGATATTAAAAACACAACAGGTAAAATAAAAGCATGTTTTATTCCATTCTTTCTGCATCATTTTGTTATGTGTTGTATTATGTTTTGTTCCTCATGTCATATAAACCTAGACTACAAACTGCCTTCTAAAGGGCATTAGGCTTACCCATGAATTTTTCTACCTCATGTATTGTACACTATACCCCAGTGAACCATCAAACTTCATAATTATAATATCTGTAATAGTAATAATAATTATTAATGATAGTATTTTCTTCTTGATGTGTGTGCATATACCCATTTCCTTATACTTTGCTTATTTGAGTCTCAGTACTTATTCAGGTGTTGTCACATTTGTGACCTTATGCATCCCCAAGCTTCAGAACAGCATATCTTATAATAAAGCAATATATCATGTTTACCACTTGTTTCCTCATAGTTAAGAATTGTAATTGAATGATTCTCCTTATTTAGGGCAGGGAATCCTTTGCAATCTTTTTCATGAATTCAGGATTTTCATCCTTAGCATATGCCTAACTTTGCTGATAGTAACAAAAGAAAAAAAAAAAAAGTTTTCTTCAGATCATTCCATCCCTGTATCACAAAACTATCCTATTATCTGGATACTTTATTGGACATGAAACACACTGTCATGCACAGATACCATGAGGTTAAAAATTAGGTCATTTCCACACTGAATAAAACTCTGGTGACTCTGTTTCACTAGGAGTGGTGAGATAAGGATGCACACCCCTCTCGTGGCAGATGTTTAAGGGTTATGATTCTGTAGCCAGCTCAGTACTTTTACCTGAAAGTACTGAGAAAAAAAAATGTTCATTTTTTAAAAATCTTAACTAGGGTCTGCTTTATGCAGAATATAGCCTTCTCTTTGGGAACTCTTTCATAGGAAACCGTGGTAGGCTCCATAGAGACCCGGCTCTGTATATTCTGTCATCCAGTATGAAAACATTCCCGATTGGCTGTTGATGTACATTTTTTGGTCAGAAGTGATTTGCTTTCTGGGTATTTGATGACCTTTCTGTAAGCCAATCTAATATATTTGTGGTGTAGAGATCTGTATCCTCTGAATACGAGGTTTAAAGACTCTTGTAATTAATTATTTAAAGACATTTTAGCCCTTAACCATTTTTCTTTCTTTGTCCACAAACAAGTCAATTGGATAATCATGTCTTTGTTTACTTTTATTGTTGTTGTTGTTGTATACATTGTACATAAAACAGGAAAGAGGAAAAGCTGTTTATAAGAGGTAATTACAATGGCAAAATTGTACTTTCTCTAGCTGTTCCCATTTTC